GGCCGCTCACCAAGGAGCTCATCAAGGAGCTCACCAAGGAGTTCGGCAGCTCTCCAAGGAGCTCACCAAGGAGCTCGGCAGCTCTCCAAGGAGCTCGCCAGCTCACCAAGGAGCTCATCAAGGAGCTCACCAAGGAGTTCGGCAGCTCTCCAAGGAGCTCGCCAAGGAGCTCGGCAACTCTCCAAGGAGCTCGGCAGCTCTCCAAGGAGCTCGGCAGCTCTCCAAGGAGCTCGGCAGCTCACCAAGGAGCTCGGCATCTCTTCAAGGAGCTCGGCAGCTCACCAAGGAGCTCACCAAGGAGCTAGGCAGCTCTCCAAGGAGCTTGCCAAGGAGCTCGGCAGCTCTCCAAGGAGCTCACCAAGGAGCTCGGTAGCTCACCAAGGAGCTCACCAAGGAGCTCGGCAGCTCTCCAAGGAGCTTGCCAAGGAGCTCGGTAGCTCTCCAAGGAGCTCACCAAGGAGCTCAACAAGGAGCTAGGCAGCTCTCCAAGGAGCTCGGCAGCTTGCCAAGGAGCTCGGCAACTCTCCAAGGAGCTCGTCACCAAGTAGCCACCAGGGAGCTCATCGCCATAGGCAGCTCACCACTTGCGGGGCAGCTCGGTATAGAAGAGCAGTTCGGCATATCACAAGAAGAGCTAGGGCAGTCCTGGGAGTAATGGCTAGGGTAGTGGTGATTACGCCTGATGTGACTGGGCACCGCTATATAAGGACTCCGACTCCCAAAGCCAAGGGGGAGAGAATGAAAAAATGGAGGTAATCCCTGCTCTCTAGCTCTCTCATTCCTCTAATATCATCTTCAAGCTCTCTACATTCAGAGTGTTAATTTAGGCATCGGAGAGTCCCCGCCGGGTAAATACCCCTAGGCCCCCTGGTTCAGTTCTCGCAGGTTCCTCAGCTCCCACCGCCTACAAAGAGGAGGAAAGATGGAGTTCTCGCAGGTTCCTCAGCTCCCGCCGCCTACAAAGAGGAGGAAAAGATGGAGTTCTCATAGGTCCCTCCGCTCCCGCCGCCTACAAAGGAGAGGAGATCACCTCATGCAGAGGGTAGTCGGGTTGCGCTACACCAGGGAGCTCCACCATCCTCTGAGTTACAGGCCGCCTAGGAGCAGGTCAAATGATGAGGTACTTAGCCAAAAAATAAAAAAATTGATACGTGACCAAAACCGGTTACATCAGGGCCAATCTAAAATGGTCCAAAATACTCATTATTAGATTCTATTGAACTTGGTGCATTTGTAATGGACTCACATTGGACTGACTGAATCGAATTGGACCAAATCCAGTCCAAATTCAGTCCAATTGATCAGCAATCCGGATTCAATATTAAAGAGTGCGCTTATTTTATTCTGTTGTCACTTGGCTGCAAGATGCTTTAAATGCTAATCAATTCCACCGCCTAGGTGGGCCCAAACTTGACTTAATTTGAATTAACCTCCTCAACCATTCAATTGACTCTCTGACAAGTGTAGGATTCTGACTCAACCGAGGCACATGATCTAAAAGTCCTCGAATCAGTGGGCGCTAGTCTGATGACTCACTATAATGTACCTAGCTGAAGGCTAGCAATTCCCCTACTCCACCTCGTATCAGCATGAATGCCATCTGTCGCCAATCTAATGGTCAAATCAGAAACGTGTCCTTTCTTGTGTGAAGGAGGGGGCTCTCTTTATTAACCTCCAACCCAATATGGGTAATTGCAGGACAAAAATGACTGTGGACCGAAGGGAGTTAAAATAAACCATCTCACCATTGGGCGGACCACATCTATGCAAATCTGACTATCTAAGTCGAATCTTTGACCGGATATCAGTTGACCAGCAGAGAGACAAGGCACAATGTGTCTAACATTGTTTCATACTAGCATGACAGAAGTAGAACACTAAAGCCACAACAAGTTCAGAGTCTGGTTGAGTTTTTCTGTCGAATCATACTCAATTGAGTGAGTAGTTCAACTTGGATGAGTGGCTTGAAGCTTCCTGGGTTTCATTTCATCTCCTGCTTGGCATTTAACACACAACACTGCACTATGTAGTTGACAGGTAGAGACTTTAATTGAACTCCCACCTGCATTTTCCTCCTCCTTTCTCTTTTATTACACTCTCCAACTCCCAACTTGTTGCTTACTGCTTACTGCTTACCAGTTACCACCTTTCCTTTTATTTTCTTCTTCTCTCTCTCTCTCTCTCTCTCTCTCTCGCTCTCCATCGTCTGTGCTTCTTCTTCCCATCTCTATCAATGGCTTCCTTTTCTTCTTCTTCTTCTTCTTCTTTCTCTCTTTCAACTCTATCACCATACTACCATCTCATCTTCACTGGTCTAGCCTTCCTTGTATCTGCATTCATATTCTTCATCTCGAGTAGAAGCAAATCCAAGCGACTCAATCTTCCTCCTGGGCCACCCGGGTGGCCTGTGGTCGGAAACCTCTTTCAGGTTGCTCTCTCAGGGAAACCATTCTTCCAGTATATCCGAGATTTGCGTCCCAAGTATGGACCCATCTTCACCTTAAAGATGGGGACTCGGACCATGATTATTGTTAGCAGTGCCGAATTGATTCATGAAGCTCTCATCGAGAAGGGTCAGGTCTTCGCAAACCGCCCCAGGGAGAACCCCACCCGTACTGTCTTCAGCTGCGACAAGTTCACTGTCAATTCCGCCCTCTACGGCCCAGTTTGGCGTTCCCTCCGGCGTAACATGGTGCAGGGTATGCTCAGCTCCACCCGGCTTAAGGAATTCCGTGATGTCAGGTCCTTGGCAATGGACCGCCTCATCGACCGGCTCCGAGCAGAGGCCAAGTCCAATGACGGGCTTGTTTGGGTGCTCAAGAACGCCCGGTTCGCCGTCTTCTGCATCCTGGTTTCAATGTGCTTTGGCGTGGAAATGGACGATAAGGACATCGAAAGGATTGACGACATGATGAAGACGGTGTTGATCACTCTTGATCCGAGGCTCGACGATTTCTTGCCAATCTTAAGCCCATTCTTCTCGAAGCAACGCAAGCGAGTCATGGAAGTACGTCAAGAACAGATACAAACGGTCCTCCCCTTCATCGAGAAGCGACGATCCATCCTCAAAAACCCAGGATCTGATATGACCGCTGCTCCATTTGCTTACCTCGATACACTCTTCGATCTCGAAGTCGAGGGACGCAAGTCATCTCCGAACGACGCCGAGCTCGTCACGCTCTGCTCCGAGTTACTGAATGGCGGGACCGACACGACGGCCACTGCACTGGAATGGGGTATCGCCCGATTGATCGAGAACCCAGATATCCAATCGAAACTCTACGCCGAGATCAAGTCCACGGTCGGCGATCGGAAGGTGGACGAGAAGGATATCGAGAATATGGTGTACCTGAACGCCGTCGTAAAGGAATTACTTCGAAGGCACCCTCCGACGTACTTGTCGCTCACACATGCAGTGACTCAGCCAGCAACGTTGGGTGGCTACGATGTGCCCACCGATGCCAACGTTGAGATATTCTTGCCACCCATCTCCGAGGACCCTAACCTATGGTCGGAGCCGGAGAAGTTCAACCCAGATCGGTTCGCATCGGGGAAGGAGGAAGCCGATATAACTGGGCTTAAGGGACTGAAGATGGTGCCATTTGGGGTTGGGAGGAGAATCTGTCCGGGTCTAGGCATGGCGACTTTACACGTGAACCTGATGTTAGCCAGGATGGTGCAGGAGTTCGAGTGGAGTGCTCACCCCTCCCAACGCAAGATAGACTTCAGCGAGAAGCTGGAATTCACGGTTGTGATGAAGAACACCCTCCGGGCTGTGATCAGACCGAGGACTTAAAAGCTCCCGGGATCTGACACTCTGGCGAACTCACTATTTTCTATAAATTATCATAAGCTTATTTTCTGTTACTCTATTTGCCGAAGAAAAAATTTTACGTTGTCTGTGAGCTGTGACTGTGATTTCATCTCTCTTAACTTCAATAGTTCTTTTTATTATTTTCTTTCACCCTTGCTTTTATGTAGTAATATATATATAGAGAGAGAGAGAGAGAGAGTAATATCCAGTAAAGTAATCTCTGTTTGTAGAATTAAATAATGAAGTTGTGAATTGTGAGTTACTATATATAGATAGTGAGATAAATTGATGGTGAATTGTCAAGAATAAAAGGAGTCGACAAAAGGAGTGGCTGTGATGAACCTAGTTTACTGATATATTGCTGTTTGGTCTAGATGATCTACGTCCAAGGTGGGACCAATCAGAGGGAGTGCTTCCTGATGCTTTTAATGGGACTATGGGAGGGATTTGGTTTGATGACATAGATATGGAGCATTTAAAGAGAGGGTAGGTAACCGTAAAGGATCGATAGTAGTCAGAAGGTGAAGAAGAAGAAGAGACCGATCGAGCAGATCCCCTTCGGATAAGAATAGTAGTTGGTTTGGGTTTGTTCTCTTAGAACCCATCCAGTACTCGGCAGTCAGCACTCAGCTCTGCTCTGTCCTCTTAACTCCTACCCTTATTCCTGAACTGACTTTACCAACTGGGCAGATATTTACTAAAGACGGGTCCCCAACTGAAGACTCGTTTGTAGAGATCAACTATATATTATATATATTCAGAAAATTGACTCTATATTCAGAAAATCCACACGGGTGCCCCTCATCCCCCAGAACAGTTTGTTTTTGACGGTTCAAACTTTGGTAAGTGCACAAGAGAGTAGTTTTGGGCTTCCTTCTTTCTTTCACTCTTTCTTGCTCTTGAATTGGTTTCAATTCTTTCATTAGAAGAGAGAGATATATGAAACTCTTAACGAGTCAAAAACAAGATAAAAAAGAGGCAACATGTGGCGGCATCAAATTTGCATGATCATCATGGTGTGTATCTCCTTGTAGTGTAGTAAATAAAAGATGACAAGAGATTCGGCTTTTTTTGGGGGGGTTGGTAAATTCATTAATAAATCACCACCCCATCTCCATCTCACGGCTGATCGGGAATATTATCGTTTATCTGTAATACTGCAAGTAAGTCAACAACGGAAGAGGGTCTGTGTGCGGATTTGAGTCCAAAAGGCTTCGTCGCACATCAGATGACTCTCGCTCAAAGATTGACAGGCGTGCTCCGACTCTGATTTGCTTGTGCGCCTGAGGGTCGCGCTTCCGGCTTATCCAAAGAAGTCAGACTGGTGTTATTTCGGGTTTCTGTTGTCTCGTCCGCCATGGTTATAGAGCTTTGCTTTTGAGTTCTTACTTCTTCTCAGAGACGACTGTCACTGCTGTTGTTAGTTTTTGATAAGGAAGAGAGGGAGCGATAATATTAACTACACCGACTGTCCACTGCTGTTTCGGGTTTCCGTTGTCTCATCCGCGAGCATAATTATTACCGGCGACCTTAACCTCCTACAAATCCAGAGACGGAGGAGGAAGACGAGCAGTCCCTTTTTTGATATTTTTCTAAAAATTTTATCCTATTTTATTTATTATGTAAAAATATTTGGCTTTATCCGATATAACCCCATTTTTATCACCTAACTAAGCCAATTGGCATGCACCTTCGAGCTAACGTGCAATGTTTATTTATTTATTTTTTATTTTGAGAGAGGAAAAGTTGATAAACGGGATAAAAATAATCTTATGTTTTTTTTTTCATATTTATGGAGGGATTAAAAAAATTTTATTTTTTTAGATATCACTTTTCCATATAAGTAATATTGTAGATAAATAAATTTTTTATATATATAAAAAATTATATTTTAATAATAAATTTTTATGGCTAAAATAACTATTACCTTATTTATATAAAAAACAAAAAAATATAAATAAATATTTGTTAGCCAAAATCTTTTGTTCTTTTTATTCCACACCTCTATCCTACACAAAGTTATATCAAATACTTTGAACCATGGGTGGCTTTGATGCTGTGATGATGTCCATGTTTTACTGGTTGACCAGATGTATATGCCCTAAGATAGCATTGGGTCGGCTTAGTCAAACTCGGCTAACTTCTAAAGTATGTACAGTCAATTAACTATTTTACCCCTCATTTAGTCGGTTTTGATATGAATCATATTGATATGCATCAATACGCACAAGATAGAAAAAATAGGGCATATAGGTGAAATATTGATACACACCAATAGTCACATGTTTCAGGTGCATCAATATTTTAGTTCTTAATGTTTGAATTGATCAATCCAGACCGTTTATTAGAAAAAATGTTTTTTTTCTGGTCTCTTTTGATTCTTTTAAGTTTGTATTTATTTCTAGAACAAAAAATTATGGCGTTACCCCATGCAATAGCTCAACATGCAAAATCTTTTGCTAATAAGCATGTATATGTGGTGGCACAGTGACACTGTCCACCCTTGTGGTAGTAACATCTTGTTAATTTTGTGATGGTTTAATAGAATTTTTACTTAATTTATCATAAAAAACCTAGTGATTCTGTCAATTAGACTGTAGATTTATTTGACTTGGTCAATCGGCCATAGGTTAGATATCAATTCTCTCTATTTTTTTCTACGCTTTTGAATATGATGTACAATTTTTTATCATTTTTTTAATTATTGTTTTCTCTGCATTTTCTCTGTTATTTATATTTATATTTTTTTATTAGGTTAACCCACTTGACCCAAACAATTAATTACAAGCCCACAAGATAAAGGATCAGGTTATTCTTTTTAAAACATCACTTTATGTTAGTTTTTTTTTTTTCTTTTTTGTTTTGAACCAAAAAGCTAAAATTAAATTTAATCTATTATAGGATATGAATAACTTCCTAAACTAAGTTAGGAAACAATACAATTTGGGCACTCTGGATCTCCTATGCACAAGCTTTTCCCATATCCCTACCCACAAGACAAACTTCTTCCATCAAATAACAAAGGAAATATTCTTATGCATGTCTGTGGTGGAGTCCGGATCTCCTGCACACAAGAATTCTGTCAACGCCTACCTACATAACATTACAGTCACACATGAAGAACATTTCATCCTCCTACATAGTATTATACACGGGGAGATGTTCTCAATGCACAAGGGTAGTGTGTTGTATATAAATGTGGGTAGAATTCTTGTAGGCAAGAGATCCAGAGTTGTCTGTGGTGTCCTATGGGTGGAGGTGTGGGGGAAGAATTTGTGGATTAACATTTGAATCCACGTTGCTCCACAAAAAAATTATGATTTTGAACATAAAATTGTTTATCCTTTCATTTTTAAATGAGAGGATAGGCTAGTCATGTGTTTCAATGCAATTCTGATTAGCTGAAAGCTTTGGCTGTGTAGCGGGCTGTGGAACCAATGATAAGGCCCGTGCTAGTGATAAAATACAAGGGGCCCACAGTGAGAATTTAAATGGTTATGAGTCCCACGTCGTATTTTATGACTAGTGTGGAATAACTATTGCGTTCAGCTAATCCTTTCTTGTTTCAATAACTCTCATGCCTTAGGGCTTTGCTTTAATTTATATATATTAGCGCAGCCCCCTCCAATATATATGATGACAAAAAGTGGTTAAAAGAAAAGGAAAATTTTACATTATTTGTCCATTGCAACACAAATTACTATATGTACAAATATTAGATGAAATGTCCTCCATTGTACCATATATTCAATATCCATTTCGAAATAGTACATACACCATAGATAGCAAGAGAATCTAGGTAATAAATGACTATAGCTAACAACCAACTTCAAAGAAAAAACTTTTGCTGTTAGGGGCCAACAGCATAGGCTGTTGAGACAGTTTCTGAAAATGTTACGTTATTATGAGAATAGGTAAATTAGTAATTATATCTCAATTTATTTTGACTAAATACTAAAACATAGGCGTGAATAGGTGAACTGCCCAGAACGTGCCCAGCCCAGAAACTCTTTCAACAGCCTATACTGTTGGGTCCCAACAACCAAAATTAACCCCAATTTCAAGTATGAATGAAAAAATTCATAAGTTTATTGAACTTGCTGACAATTTGTTGAGATCAATGAGAAGTTAGAGAGAGGGAAAAAGGGAGAGAGAAAAAAAAGGGAATCACCTAGAAACAAAATCAAGTAGATTGAATGGATCTTGTCACATAAAAGGCCTTATCCTTGCTTCTTGTTGGATTTATCACTAATTTTCAGTAATTATTACAAATAATTCTTCAGTAATTAATTATTCACCAATAATTATCACTAATTAATTTTTAGGAATTATTACTAATTACCATTTATCAGTAATTATTTACTTATAATTAACAATAATTTTTAGTAATTATTTACTGATAATTATTGCAGTATAATCGGCAAAATGAGCTAAAACAAATGAAATATTGGATGATTGAGTTGAACGCTATTTTGGTCTTACCTAGAAGAAGTGGTGTTGAACTCCTATTTCTTTTTTGTGAAAAAAGAGGGACACGAGGAGAAGCTTCAAATGAAAAATCTAGAAGAAATGGGATTAATACATATATAAATTAAGTTACTATCAGTTTTTGGGCTAGTTCTCAAAGCATAAAATAAAAACAAACGCAATTTTTAGGTCTATCAGAAATCAAAGTGACGTAGGCGCAGATGGCCCTGATCATTTGCAGGCTTACACGTGTCAGGCGGCATATGTCAGAGTGCAACCAATCAGCGTATTCGTGCTGCCTAGATCAGCAGATTTGGGGGAACCAATGGCATGGGATCACTTAGTGGCCTTGGATGGCCACGCTCCCTGCGTACAGACTCAATCCCCACCATCCAAGCACACTTACCTCTAGGTGGATTCAAGTATAAATATGAGGTGACCCCCTCTAAGTAAATGATGGAACACTCAAGACTCTCTTATTGGCACTTGAGATTTCTTATTCTCTTGTGACCTCATCTAGGGGTTCACACCTCGGACCTCGTCCACCTCGTACATCAGTACTAATTTGACTGTCAGAACTTTCGCCTCGGGTCTTCACCTAAGGCCCTTGACACTTTTCTGTCCTTGCAGAATCCTACTCAGATTTAGGGAATGAATTGAGAGTGTTTCCGAATATCAACAGAAAGCATAAAAAAGAAAAGACAGATATGAAGAAATGAGGTTGAGCACAGTTTCTGGGTCTATTAGTTGTCAAAAGATATGTGAAATAAAAGCAACAAAGAGAGAATTAATCTTACCACTG